CTTATAAGCACTTGGATGTGTTTTTGGAATTGTGTTCAATTACCAAGTTGAATATTCTATCCAACAATTCATTCAGAATGCATCTTTTCCAATTCTCTCTTAAGGATAAAACAAGAACCTGGTTGCATTCCCTTCTTCCAAATTCCATATCTACATGGGACATGTTATAAGAGGAGTTCTTGAAAAAATACTACACTGTGGGTAAAACCACACAAATGAGAAGAGAAATCATGGCATTTTCCCAAATCCCGGGAGAACAGTTTCATGATACTTGGGAAAGATACAATGATCTTCTAAGAAAGTGTCAACACCATGATATTGCTCAATGGCACTTAATATAGATTTTCTATGATTGTGACGACCCTGGTTTTTAGGCCAGCGTGTCCTGTGATGAACCGAAGATTGACCCGATAACGGATCCGATACGAGGAAGCAAAAACAGAAAACAAGACTCTAAGAAGTCAAAGTGACCTTCCATGAGGTCGTAGAACTCAATGAGAACTGATGCGGGAGCAAAAGATCAAAAACATGACAAATAAGCCCCCAGGGGCAAAATAGTCATTTCTAAAAAATGTGGATTCAGGTGCCACTGAGCACACCGCTGGAAAGACAACAAAAAAATAATCAGGATGGACTCAAGAATCGCATGATTCGGAGTCCGGACGAAGGAGAAATGGCCTGACGAAGAAAAACGAGCATTTAAGGCTAAAGGGGTAAATTGGTAATTATCCAGGAAGATTCGGGTGCAACCGAGCACACTGTTGGAAAGACAGCAAAAAATTAGTCAAGTTAAAAAAAAAATTCACTCGATTTGGAGTCTGGACGAGGGAGAAACGAGGGTTTGAAGTTGAGACATCGCGGCGGCCCGACGAAGGCCATGGCGCACACGGCACCCATGCATGAGCCCACCGGCGCCCATGCCGGTGCCTAATGGCATGCACCAGCTAACAACAAGAAAAAAAAAGTGAGGTTCCAGAACTGAGGCTTGAAACGGAGGCCGAAATGAATTTTTCTGGAAAAACACGAAGAAGAAACCCCCCTTAAAATCGAGTTTTCTACCCGAGATCGCGAACAGAATCGAAAAAAACTCACTGTGAAATCCCCAAAATGCCCCTAGATCAGAATTGAACAAGAGGGTTAAAAGTTGCTACAGTGACTGTCTGCAACTGAGAGCAAAAACGGGCTAGAAGATGAATTTTTCTGGAAAAACACAACGAAGAAACCCCTCTCAAAATTGAATTTTCTACGTGACTTGTGAGAGAATTAAAAAAAAATGCAATGTAGAATGCCCAAAATGCCCCTCCATGAAATCTGGTCATGGAGGTCCAAAAAGCTGCAAAAAAGAAAACATAAAGCTGAACTTTTCGATCGATTTCCGGCACCAAGACGACATTTTCTGGAAAAACACAAAAAATAAACCCCCCCTAAAATCACGTTTTCTAAGTGACCATGAGGAGACCGGAATTTATTTCCCGAAGGAAAACCCCAAAGTGCCCCTAAACTAGATTATGCAAAAAAAAATGCATAATGAATCCCTCGGAGGCTCAAATTGCCAAGGAAGAGGTTTTTCCCGGAAACAATCATGCACGCAGACGTAAATGGTGATTTTGATCGTGCGAGAATGGTCCGCGGCTCCCGAAAATGGCCGAGTCAAAATCCGACCCCCCAACGGCCAAAAAGGCGAAAATGAACTTGAAATGGAAAATTTGGAAACCAAAATTAGGAAATTATTTTAAATGACCATTTGGCCCTTGGCCACACTTCATACAAGATAAATGAGACCTAGTGGAGGTGCAGGAACACACTTTGCACCACTCGATTTGAAAATAAACCCTTAAAGGCTCGGATTCTACTATTTTAGCCCAAAATGCAATATGTGAACTAAAATGCAAAAATGAACACTAAATGGTGTTTGGCCCTTGGCCACACCTCATGCATGATTATAGAATCCCTATGAAAAAGAGAGAGTGGAATTCCCATTCCCAATGCAAAAGTTATGAAGAAAAGACTTGTGAATTTTCAATGTTTTCATAATAACTTTGAAAGTAAAGTGTATAGAATACATAATATATGTTATTGGCCACCGGTCTCATCTTATACATGTTGAATATAATGAAAAGAGTGTACTTATGCACACTTTACATACATAGAATCAAAGAATACAAGTTCTGTCATGAGAAGCTACAAATCATCCAAGGCAATGAAGCCTTCAAGTCTTGAGTCCTGTACCTGAAATATGCCCCAGTAATGTAGGGGTGAGCAACATAAAGCTACTCGTAGGAGATGAGCATGCATTAACCTAGTATTTTACAATTTTATCACCTTATGGTAAAACATGTCAGAGGGGCTCATGCCACCTAACATCTATGTCACAATGAGACTCAGGGAGCATCCTAAGCTACCCTAGAGTAATGATCAACAAGAATCATGATACTTAAACACGTATAAAATGAATCAAGATTTGGATAATTCAAAGAATATGACAAGAAGGATGCTTGAATACAAGTTAACAAGAATTACATTATCAATGCAATTAGGCAAAGTTTGGAATAATCCATACAACACGACAAGGAGTTACTAGAATACAAGTTCACATTGTCAAGGCACTTTACATGATTGGAACATACTATTTAACACGACAAGAAGTATATTCGGATATAAGTTAGCAAGAATTACATTATAAATGCAATTGGCATGATTGGAGCATTTCACATACACGAAAAGTTTAAATCTTCAAAGAATAGCAACTTGAAATTTAAAGAGTGAAATCAAACAATGTGGAAACTTGGATATCGCCCAGATTAAAACCGTACTCTTGGGATCACTTTAGGGATTATCAACCCAAGGGTACCTTCTCCTATTCTTGGGATCACTTTAGGGATTATCAACCCAAGGGTACCTTCCCCTATTCTTGATTGATATCCCAAGTTCCAAAATTAACAAGTTGTGCAAGTCAAGATTGTATGAAATACAATAAATACATTAACCACGTTTCATGCACAACCAAGATTTTGGAACACGCAAGTCATGCCCCTAGTTCATCAACTATCATGGCATGTGAGATGACAAGAAATCATAGTATGCACTATATAGACAACATCTAAGATATATAGCACATGGAGTTCATTGAAGTAAATATACCATAAGTATAAGATACATAATTCAATTACTTTCTAAGCAACATATGAGTAATTAAATCATTCCAAGACAACTGTGCATGTTCATTAAGTACATTAATGAAACCTAGATACAAGGGGTCATGATTAAACTAATGGAAGCACAAAAAGCAAAATTTAATCAACCCATAGTTGTCAAAGGCGCCGGAGGCGCGCGCCTGAGGCGCAAGGCGCCTCCAGGCGCCATCTCAGCGCCTCTAGAACCTTAAGGCGCATGGGTTGCAGAAGGCGAGCACCTTTTCTCTACAGGCGCAAGGCTAAAGGCGATATAAAGGCGCGCCTGATGGAAGTTGTAATATTTTAACTATTTTCTTTTGTAACTTTTGTTTGTTTATTGACTATTTGACTTTATTGATTTGTTTTATTATTTTATTGTTTCTATTTTATTACTTTTGTAACACATTGTTACCACATTAAAAAAACAAAAGGAGAACAAACACCAAAACAAAGAAGAGTCGGAGACAGAGGTCACAGAGGCGACGACTTGGACAACAGTTACTCTCGGTCTCGGTCCTCACTCCTCTCGGATCTTTCATCTGTGTCGGATCTGCCGGATCTGCCGGATCTACGCAGTCGGCGACTCTGCCGGTACGTTCTCCAACTTCTCCTTCTCTCTCTTCTTCTTCTTCTCTCCTCTTCCTTCTCTTCTTCTTCTCTCCTTCTCTTCTCGGATCTGTGATCTGTCTGAGTTTTTTTTTTTTTTTTTTTTTTTTTTCTTTTCTTCTTCTTTTCTTCTCTCGGCCGACTGTCGAGTCAAGTTTGGCAGTTTTTTTTTATTATTATTCTTCTTTTTTTTCTCTATTTTTTTATTTTATTTTTTTTCTTGAGTCTGGACTCTGTTCAAAGAAACTTTTTACTTTTTGATGCTCTCCTCATTTTTATAGATTAATTCATATATTAAGTTTTCTTTTATTTAGGAATTGATGACCAATTAAGATCACATGTTTTTTTTTTTTTTTTTATGAAAAGAAATTGTTATATATGGATGGAATTGATGAAGGGGCCGGGGAGAGGAGAGTGGAGACTCTGGACTGTGACAAATTTATTATGTTGCTATTTTAATCTTAAAATAACAGTTACTAAACTTGCTATTTTATTTTTTTTTGGATTGTTGTAGCCTGTATGTGACAGATAGAATGTAATTCTTTTTCTTGGTTACGGGTTACCCAAAAAAAAAAAATTTATTGAAATCAGAAGGTATTTAATTGATTTTCTTGTAAATTTTGCAGAGGAATACAAAGCTTCTAATATATACAGAATTTACATAACACCAAAATACCAAATACAGAGAGATAGACTGATAGAGAGAAGAAGTTGTCCAGTTAACAACTAACACCAAATTGAAGTCAAATTTATTAACATCAAACTTAAGTTACTTAACACTGAAATACTGAATCCATAAAAATTAGCTCCAAACCGATCTATCAGCTCTCTCCACGTAGAGAGTGACTGTGAGTCTGTGACGGATCTATTTCCCAATTTGAGCCAACACATTCTGGCATTCTGCAGTTACTTTGCTTAATCACAATTGCAGCCAAATTGTATGCCTGTATTTGTTCCATTGAATCATTCTAACATGTTAAAATGAAATAATTAGTGAAGTGTACTCTAAAGTCTAAATTATAAAAGACAATCGCAAATTGTAAATAGCAACTGTTTACTGTTATATTATTTTCATATAATATAATTAGGTTCTATTATTGAAAGTATGTTTAGTTGTTATAGTTATAGAATGAATCATGGTGCTTATAGTTATAGAAAATTAGATTGATTTGCAGCTTACATAATTTCTATTGAACTTGATTGTAGTTTGAACTTTAAAAGATGCCTAGTGAAGGTTCAAGAAAGGATCCGGCATGGAATTACTCACATTTGGAGAATCCGAAAGATACAAATGCCGTCACTTGTAACTTCTGTGCAAAAGTTACAAAAGGAGGTATTTATCGGGCTAAGCAACACTTAGCTGGAGGATATAGAAATGTGAGTGCATGCACAAGATGCCCATCTAGTGTTAGAGAAGAAATCAAAGAGTACATGAGTAAGAAAAAGGAAGAAAAAGAACAAATGAATTTGTTACCTAGTGATGAGATTAATTTCATTGATGGAGAGGATGAGGATGATGTCATGGAAGTTAGCAATCGGGGAAAAAGGGTAGCTAGTGCAGGCAGTGCTAGTGTCAATTCCTCAAAGATGCAAAAGCAAAAGGGACCGATTGATTTATATTTCACTCCCAGACCGGAAATTGTGGTACAAAAAAGAAAGGAGGGGGGAAAACAAACAGCCATTGATGATGCATGCAAGAAAGAGTTGAGAGGAAGAGCGTGTGCTGCTTTTGCAAGGTGGATGTATGATGCAGGAATTGCATTCAATGCTGTTAAGTATGATAGCTTTGCCGAGGTTGTTGAAGCAATTGGACAATATGGTCCTGGCATGAAACCACCTAGTTATCATGAGGTGAGAGTTCCTTTGCTTAGGAAGGAATTGGATATTACCAATGCTTTGATGAATGACCATAGGGAGGAGTGGTCAAAATTTGGATGCTCATTAATGGCAAATGGGTGGACAGACAAGAGAGGGAGAACATTGCTTAATTTCCTAGTAAATAGTCCAAGGGGAACCATGTTTATTGAGTCGATAGATACATCTTCTTTTTCAAAGGATGGTGACAAGATGTTTGACTTACTTAATAAATTTGTGAACCGCATTGGAGTAGCAAATGTCGTCCAAGTCGTCACAGATAGTGAGTCAAGCAATAAGTATGCCGGTAAGAATGTTCAATGTTTATAACTTTTAGAGTTTACATTCTTTACAAATATATAATTTAAATCAATTTTGATTTAATCATTCTCTTTATATCATTTTTCTTTTTTCCGTTTGGTTTCAAATAGGGAGGATGTTAGAGAAAGAACACCCACATTTGTATTGGACCCCATGTGCTGCTCATTGCTTAGACTTGATGTTGGAAGACATTGGGAAAATACCGTCCATCTCTAGAACAATGCAGAGGGCAGTGGAGTTGAATAGTTATATTTATATGCAACCAAAGTTGTTGAACATTATGAGGAACTTTACTCACAAAAAGGAGTTGCTTAGGCCTGCTAAGACTCGATTTGCTACATGTTTCATCACATTATCAAGTATTCACAAGCAAAAGAATAACTTGAGAAAGATGTTTACTTCAGAAGAATGGAATCGTAGTAAATGGGCGAAAGAGGAAGCCGGTAAAAGAGTTGCTTCTTATGTTTTGATGCCTTCCTTTTGGAACAACATTGTCTTTAGCCTTAAGGTTTCCGGTCCTCTTATTCCGGTTTTGAGATTAGTTGATGGCGAGAGAATGCCTCCCATGGGATACATTTATGCGGCTATGGATAGGGCTAAAGAAGCCATTGCAAAATCATTTGGGGGAGTAGAAGATAAATACTTAGATATTTTTGAAATAATTGATAAGAGGTGGAATGTTCAACTTCATCGCCCTTTGCATGCAGCAGGTTATTATTTGAACCCAGAATACTTTTATTCAAATTCGAAAATTGAAGAAGATGAAGAGATTGCAAAGGGTTTGTATGCATGCATTGCAAGGTTAGTCCCGGATGTCAAAGACCAAGACAAAATTACTGAGGAGCTGTCCTTATATTCTAAAGCTGAGGGCCTCTTTGGTAATCCTTTTGCTATTAGACAAAGAAGTACACGAGGACCAGGTAAAGTGGTAAAGTATATTAAGTTAGTATAGCTAAGTGTTAAAATTATTTTGACAATAGAGTCGATAGAAAGATGAAGCTAAAGTTGCTAAACATCATTATTAATTTTTTTTTAATAGCTAATTGGTGGGAAGCTTATGGCAAGTCAACAAAACTTCTCCAAAAGTTTGCTATAAAGATTTTAAGCCTTACTTGCAGCTCTTCTGCTTGTGAACGAAATTGGAGCGTGTTTGAGCATGTAAGTATATACTATTTACTAACTAGGTTTGTAATTTAATTGTTGAAAATTAAAATTTTATTTTTTTATACTTACTAGTTAAAGTTAAATTTATTGCAGCTTCATAACAAGAAAAGAAATAGGCTCGCTCAAACAACGTTGAATGATTTAGTGTTCATCAAATATAATAGAGCATTGAGGCGTCGATATAATATGTGTGACACTCTTGATCCCATTTTACTCGATGACATTGATGAGAGCAACGAGTGGTTGACGGGGAGGATGGATGATTCTGATGTAGAACATGATTTAGTCTATGAAGATGATTCCCTGACATGGGGTGATGTTGCTAATTTTGCTGGTATTGGAGAGGCAAGCAGGCTGCAATGGTCTACTAGATCAAAATCTAGTTCTAGTTCACGGTTACCAACAAAGGGAGCAGGAAGTTCTTCAGTTCGACTTGTGGATGAGGATGAGGATGATTCAGATGAGATAGAAGAGGATCCTGAGAATTATGAATCATTTAGTGACGATCAAAATGATGTTATGCTTATTGATGACGAGGATGATATTTAGATTCATTGGTGTTGTCTTCTTAGGAAGAATGATGTTTATGTTTGTTTTAGTTTTATCTTATACTTCTCCTTAGTTGACTTTTGCATCTTTATGTTAATATGTTTGATTATTCACTGTTTTGAACTCAAGTACTTGATTTACTTGGTTTTGGCATCTTTATGTTGAATATTTAACTTAAGTAATTCATTTAGTTGACTTTTACATCTTTCTATATACTATTGCATGATTTGCATCTTTAATACTTTATTGGGTGGGTTTTGTTTTTTTTTTTTTTCCAACGTGCGCCTTGCTTCAGTCGGGCGCGCGCCTCGCCTTGCGCCTTGCGCCTCAGGCTCCAGGAGGCATTTGCGCTTTTGTGCGCCTTGAGCCTTTAACAACTATGAATCAACCTAAAGGATTAAATTATCACGATTACGAGGCAAGTCCAAATGTTCTATGAACAAGGTGTGTCAAGGATCATATCAAGGTCAAGTTCAATGTCAAGTTACAAGTCCATTTCATGCAAGACATAACCATGTGAATTAAGTTCCATACAAAGGAAGTAAATGAAAATAAGTTTCAAACTTATCCGATTATTCTCAATTTGATACATGTGAAGGAATTTGTCACGAAAAGCATGAATTCCAAGTTAGAAACTTAATCAAGACCAATGAGTTATTGAATGGATTTTAATTATTACACTTAATTAAAATCTCTAAGTTTTGAAATTCATCTAAATGATCTCAAATTTAAATATGTTATACAACATACCATGACATGATTTAAAAACACGATACAAATGAATTCCATGCAATGAATGGCCATGAGCATTAAACTTTAATACTAGAAAAATAATAAATGATAGATTTCAAAACCTAACCAAATATTCTAGATTTAATATATATGAAACCATATAGCATGCATATTAAGAATGTCAAGTCGGAATTCCAATGGGGTGAATAGTACACCTGGAATAAATAAATTAATCTAATTAATTAAATATTACTAGATTTCAAAACTTCTCCGATTACTCTCAATTTAATCTATGTTGAAGAGCATGCTAGGGCCTAATATAATATGCTAACACACATCGATTTCAAGCTAGTTAAGGCCACATGAATTAATATTTTATTCTAGTAAAATATTAAATAAAATCTTTGTTACTTGTCCAATTTCTCTCAATTTAATATATGTTAATCAACATATCAAGGGGTAATATTCTATCATGCCACATGATTAAACAAAGCTATGGGCAACCGGGAAAATTAAATCCTTCACAAGAAAATTAAATAATAAAATCTCTAGATTTCATATTTAAGCATGTAAACAAGTTGTATAAGAATCAATAGCATGTTATATAACAATAATTAAACCTATAACACCCCCTACCTCAATTTGAAATGAAAACCTCAAAGGCCCACCGAAAAAAAAGTTTTTCGAAATCGCCAAAACCGAAGGGTTTTGTCGGGGACAACACGATCTACATGAATCCGAAGGAAGCCCAATGAAAATCACAACTTGACCTCAAACCCAAACTCAAGAAATGGTCAAAAATGAATTCTAATAAGGGGGAATGGTAGAACACGTCGAGGGGAATAAAAACCGTGAAGGCCGAAGACTTTTTACTTAGGAAAAGTAAATCAAAGGAGGAGAGAGAAAGTGGCAGCTCCATGGGAATCCATGGCTGCTTCAGGTCGTGCAAGGACAGTGGGGAAGATGAAAAATAAAATATTTCACCCTCCTTTTATAGAAATCTCAAAAAGTGCCCCGAACGGACCCCGCCGGGTCAGGAAAAGTGGAATTTGAGCAAACGCACTCAAATGGCAAAAGTCCGTGAACGAAAAAGATTTAAAATGAGAAAATATGAATAAAGAAAGAAATGGCATCGAAAATCGAGTCCCGAGCATAAAGTTATGCCCCGAACAAGTTCGGCGGCAACCGGGTCCAAAAACTTTGAAACTGGAGAAAAACGACCAGAATGAAATTCTATGAATTTATGAGTCAACGAAAAGTGAAAATAAATCCTGTACGAGGATTCAGGCTCCAGACGAGATATTTTGTAATAACTTTCGTTAATTGCACAATGGCCCCTACAAAAAGAGTTAACTACTAAACTGCCCAGAATGAAAATATCTTCCAAAAGATATTTTCTTAGATACCCCTGAAATAAAATATCTTCAAAAGATATTTACGAAAAACACCCCAAGAAAAAGAAAAGATTCTGAAGAATTGTGCATCCACGCCCCTATGGACACCGGGAGCAACTAGAGTACTTTCTTGCAAAAGTGAAGATACGTATTCAAGGAAGCCACTCAAGATGAAGGCACGTGAAGTCAAGAACCAACTCTGAGCATGAGAAGTGAGGCTGTGCCAACAATGTGACAAACGGGGAAAAGACAGAATAGGGAAAAAGACAAAACAGGGAAAATGACGAAAGGCGCATAGTGTCTGAAAAGTGAAAATACGAAAATGACTGGGTCTTCAAAGGAAGTTGTCAATTCACATGAAAGAGTCTTAGAAACCAATTCTGAGCACTCGAGATGACACTAAGCGACACGAAACAGAGCTCAGAAAAGAAAATTAAACGAAAAAAATTCATTCGTAAAATTTCAAGAAAAAGGAAAGGAAGGCAAATGACCGGGTCGTTACAATGATGGTCTTTCTGATTCTCATAAGAACATGGCTGATGCATCCAGTAATGGAGCTTTTCTGCGTAAAAGTCCAGTTGATGCTTGGGAACTGTTTAAGGCCCTAAGTGAAAATTCATTGCAACATGTATCTTCCTCTAAGTCTAGGTCTACACCTGGAATCCATAAGGTCAAAAATCTTTAGGAAGTTGAGAAATTTAGAGAGCTGTCCACTCACAAAGAGGTGTTAAATCAAAAGTTTGACAAAGTCTTATCAGCTGTCAGTGCTCTTATTTCTATTCAGCACTCCTCTTTGCTAAAGGAAATGTGTTCAATCTATGCAAATCCATCACACCGTGCTAATACTTGTCCTTTCAGGGGACGACTTTCTAAAAATCACCAAGAGCAAGCCAACGCAGCATTATCTAATCAAGGGTACAATCCATATTTCAATACCTATAACCTTGGTTGGAGAGATAATCCCAATCTATCATGGTGGAATTAGAGCCAAGGCAATACTGCTCCACAATCTCAGGGACAGTACCAAAATTCATCCAACCTTTTGCCCCAAAATAATCTTTTCAATCAATCTTCTATATATCTTCCACCACAACTTCGGAATCAAGCTAATCCAGCTCCTTTTCCTACTCCTCCTAAGTATTCATTTGTTTTTGAAGAATAAGTAATTAGTACTCTTGCTAAAGTTAAAGCAAACACCCAACTTCTTCATACTCATTCTCAAGCCATAGCCAAGCTAGAGGCTCAAGTTGGGCAAATTGCGAGTACTCTATCTCGTAGAGAGGAAGGAAAACTTCCTAGTCATCTAGTGGTTAACCCGAAAGGGCAAACTTACATGATTAATGCTATTAATCCTTCAAGTAGTCAATATGAGCAAGTTCAGGCCATCACCACTTTGAGGAGTGGAAGAATCATTGATAATCAAGTTGAAAAAGAACAGGAAGAAAAAGAGAGACTTAGGGTCCCCATTATTCCCATCATTCCACATCCATATTCTACAAATGTTCCCCCAAATTCTATTCCGCAATCGAGTTCCAAAGGAGTTGAAGGTGGAGTCACTTCTTTATCTGCTCCTAACCTTGAGACCGCTTATAAGCCAAGAGCGCCTTATCCTGAACGTCTTAAGGAACCCTCCCACTTTGGTAAGTTAGGGGAGAAAATTCAAGAAATGATGGAAGTCTTTAAACAAGTCAAAGTTAATATTCCTCTCCTTGAAGCCATCAAACAAATCCCAGCCTATGCCAAATTTCTAAAAGATTTGTGCACCCAAAAGAGAAAATCAAAAAGCCAAGTCTCTAAAAAAATCTATCTCACTGAGCAAGTCAGTGCACTCATTCAGCACAGCACTCCTCCTAAGTTCAAAGATCCTGGTGCTCCTACCATTTCGTGCACCATTGGAAATAATGTGATAGATAGAACAGTTCTTGATCTTGGAGCGGGTGTTAATCTTCTTCTTTACTCTGTGCTTGAGCAATTAGGCTTGGGAGAGCTTAAACCCACGTCAATGGTGTTGCAACTTGCTGATCAATC